GTCATTTGTATTTAAGTTGTATTATTGGAAGAATGTAAGTTAAAGTTTAAGTTTCAAGTTGTAAGTTGTAAAGCAATATTGGAATCGTATTTGATGCATGTCTATTTATGATGGAAGGGCCTTAGGCCTATTTTAGGGTATGATTACATGTATGATGAAAATATGCATGAAAAAGGTGTTAGTGATTGCAACTACTTAAGAATGATTAATATGAGCTATATGTCTAATAACTATAAACTGGATTGGGTTGTAAGTGCCCCAAGGCGTTGTTGGTCCTTGTGTGTGCCACCTATTGGATTATTACTGTATTATCATGTGATTATTAGGTACATTGAGGCTTAAATGATCTTTTACAAATTTGGGATTATTGGAAAAACAAAGGAAACTCTGGCGAATTTTCTGTAGAATTGGCAGATTTTAGGCGAACTTCGGGAGAGCATACCTCCCTCCATAGAGGTCCAATAGGGACGTGCCATACACCATTTTGAAGGTTGAGATGTCCTCTATCGTGTGTCAAAAATTGGGAAAAATCTGGGTTGATCTTCGACCTGGAAAAATTGGAGGAACGCAGACTGCTCATGTGCCCACTGCATCTGAGGCAGTTCTGGTCCTGTTTTGGGAAATTAATTCCCGCTTCATTTCTCAGTCAAATTAAGCGTATGATATATCAAATCGAAGATCGAGGTGTCTAGGTTATGGTGTAAAAATTTAGGAGCAATTGAATGAGTGTATTGAGTGCAGTAATTCGTGGAGTGAAAGAGGTTTAGAGCTGTTTTTGGGGTTGGTTGGCTATTTTGCTTATCCAACTTCAAACCGCGATAACCGGAGAAAATGAGCTCCGAATTGAGCGTGTGATAGCTTGTTGAGAAGGGAATTAAGTAAGACAAAGATATAATCTGAGAAGAAGGTTTGGTTGTGAGCAGTATGTTCGCAGAAAAATTAGGAGTGGACCATGTTCAAGTAAGTAAAAACGTAAATGTTGTAATTGGCTAAGTGGGTTTATGGGAACCCCTTAGTAACTTATAATAAGTAAAGTAAGTTATAAAAATAGTTTAAATAAGTCTTCCGCAAGAGTTTACGGTTACAGTCACAGCTTTTAATTATTACGCTTTTTATGTTTTAAATGCTCGCGTAATAATCGGAAAAAGTTTATTCGCATTTTTATAAATGAATTGCTGTGATTGTAACTGCGCTTAATATCATAATTAATGTTAACAATACCGGTGTACAACGGGCTGTTACAGATCCTACATGAATCTGTTATTTGGTTTAATTCTTTTCATTAATTAAATGTCTCTAATTATTTGTGTTTATCTTGAATTGCTTGTTTAAATTCTTGTATGATCTGGCCAACTATATAGGAATAAAGAGGTTCGCAAGAGACATATTGGGGTCTTAATCTAGATAGGGGTAAACATTGATTCTTGCTTGATCTAGACATAGGCTGGTAGGAATTGTAAACTTTTGTAATTCATTGCGTGTAAGGCTTAATCTGAAAAGGGTTTATAAGATATTAGAATTTTGATTGGATTAAAGGGTTAAAGGACTAAGACATTAGGATTTGACCAATTAATTCTTAGATGGTGAATTGTTTGAAACAATTGAGACAGAGAGTTATTGAATTGAATTAAATCGTAAAAGGGGGATCAAAGGTGAACTATACCTAGCTGCAGTTTTTATTATTGATTTTAAATTAATCTTTAATTATTAGAATCTTTTCTTGCATTTAATTGTTGTTGGCATTTGTTCTTTTAATTGTTTTTTTTTTAAATTAGATTTCTATTATTCTTCTTAAACCAAATTTGATTTGTCCAACTTAAGTAAAAATAGTAAATTAGTGCTTGAAATACTAATCCTCGTGGAAATGATACTCTACCATCTTCTTTATTACTTGTACGACAGGTATACTTGTCGTGATCGTAACACCTGACTTACCATATTTAGACGTTGTAGTCTTTCTAATGTGGGAGAAAACCTTGGGTACATCAGATGTAGGTACGTTTTTACCTAATGGGGAAAGTTTTTAGGATTTAGTGGGAATAATAAAAAATAACAAGGGTGTAAATAAAAAATAATAATTTTCCTATTTAAAAAAAAGATGTACCGAAATGGGTACATCTGATGTATTGAAAAAATTTCCCTAATGTGGACAGTGTGTGTCAAACACAAAAACGATTGGTTAAGTGTAATTATATTCAAATACTAATTTATTTTTCTTTGTAACTTTCCCTCACCGTGGATAAGGATAAACCTCATTAATTTATCTCGGGTCTTGAAAATATCTATATTATTTTACCTATTAATTTTTAGAATATCTTGAATAACCTTGGGTCTTGTATTCATACTATAAATAAATAATGTAAATCAAAATGAGTTGTTTTATAATTACATAAATATATTATTCAACAAAAAGAAAATTGAAATGCCACTGACATTTTAATTATTGTATATTACATTTAATTACCTTATAGCTAGGTCTTGATATAATGAATTAAAATTTAGGAGTATAGAGAGTTATAACTGTTAATAAATTTTAATAATTATAATTCTGCAACATATTTTCTAGAATACAGCTAAATAACATGCAGGTATAATTATGCATGCAGGTAAATTAAAGCGGGTGACACGTGAAGTCCCAAGTTCTCAATATGATAAATAGCATTCCTGATGGCTGGTGTCATGGCGGCATGACAAATATTGTGTTTTTTTTGTCAAGGTCTGTATCTGCACTCGACACGTTACTGATCAGTGCAAGTATGAATGCGGTACCACAAGAAGCGCGTTTTTATTCTGCATCACTCTAATAATAAATTTGATCAAAAACTTAATCCGATCAATTTTTTTTTGAAAAAGAAACTAATACGGTCTAAAAGCCGCATCCTAGTAAACAATGTGACAGCTCAACTTTCTTTTGTTTGGACGCCATCCCTGGCAAAAAAAAAAAATTAAGTTAATGCTTTTCAATAAATTAATTATACATTTATTACAGTTTTGGAAATAATTACATATTGATTGTACAATATGACGCCCAATTTGGGCGTCACCAATGACGCACAAATTGGGCGTCACTCAAGAGGCAATCATGCCTAATTTAGACGTCACTCATTAGGTGTTGACACGTGTCATATTTTTTTCATAAAAAATTAAAATAATTTAATCATAAAACTTTTGATTCGGGTATCCAAATCAGGTAATTCTTTTTTTGATTCCACATAACTTTTCGATATCTACACAATGACATCTCATTTGACGTATTTTATTTCCCATAAACACAATTTAAATTTGCAAGAATAGTATTATAAGAGCGATTAAACCCAGAGCCTCTCAGTTCTGAGTTTGTGATTTAATATAAAAAATAAATAAAATTTTGATTTGTGATTTAAATTTTTTTATAATAATTTTTTTAGTATAACAAAAATTTGGTTGTGATTTAAATTAAAAATAAAATAAAAATTATTATTAATAAGAAAAACAAAATAAAGATTTGATTTGTGTTTTAAACTAAAAAATCAATTTTAAAAACCTGTTGAAATAAAAGAAATAATTAAATAAATATTCTAAATCTCTAAGGAAGAAGGATATTATTTTTGAAATTAATGATTAATGCTATAAGCTTCTGGGTTATTATTCGTGGTCTGAAATTAATGATGGCTTATGAATGTTTTTCAAAAATAAAATTACCTAAATTAGACGTGATTGCCTCTTGATTGAAACCCAATTTAGACGTGATTGGTGACGTGTCAGGTGTTGACACATGTTGACACGTGTCCCATTTTTAAACTCAGAAGCCTCTGAGTTCTTGGTTTGTGATTTAATATTAAAAATAAATCAAGATTTGATGTGTGATTTAAATTAAAAAAATAAATTTTTTTATTTTTATTATAAATTTTTTTTGTTTGTGATTTAAATTAAAAATAACAATTATTATTAATAAGAAAAACAAAATAAAGATTTGATTTGTGATTTAAACTTAAAAATCAATTTGAAATAAATGTATTAATAAAGGAAATAATTAAATAAATATTCTAAATCTCTAAGGAAGAAGGATTACTTGATTTAAATTTAAATTATGTTTGTGATAAATAAAATACATTAAATGAGATGTCATTGTGTAGATATCGAAAAGTTATGTGGAATCAAAAAAAAGAATTACCTAATTTGGATACCCGAGTCAAAAGTTATGGCCTTCAAAAATTTTATGATTAAACTTTTTTTTTGGAAAAAAAAGTATGACATGTGTCAACAGCTGATGCGTGACGCCTAAATTAGGCGTGATTTCCTCTTGAGTGACGCTCAATTTGGGGGTCATTGGTGATGCCCAAATTGGGCGTTATATTGTGCAATAAATGTGTAATTATTTTCAAAACTGTAATAAATGCGTAATTAATTTATTAAAAAGTATTAAATTAATTTTTTTTGCCCGCCATCTCCTGTTTCAGAAATTGCATTTTGGCATTTTCTTGAATACTTTTTCCATTCTAGATTTCGGATTTATTTTCCTCGATTGAGAGTTAAGAGTATGGAATATCAATTCCAAAGTTGGTGACATGAAATGTGGTAGAGGGGAAATTTTTTTTTACCCGGGAATCTCAATTTTCAAAAATATAATTTTTACATTCAGTTTACAATAATACTTGAAAATTAAAAATTTAGAAAAAATTCAATTTCCCGGGAATCTCCAAGAATCCCGCGTACCAAAGGGGGTTTGGATGATATTAAAAGATAGTTGTCGCGTAGTCTAATTTGCCATTATATTAATCCATTTTAAAACTGAATTTTGGTTTCGAGATTTCCTTTGTCAATGATTAATGTTATTATTTGGTCACCTCACTATTAATTTATTCACTCCATTATATTCATAGCATGAAAGTAGGTGCTTCTAAAAAGAATCAAAATAAAAAAAACTAACAATATGTATATCCATATCCATATATTGTTGTTACATAATAGTTTGATCAGCTTATAGCATATACTGAATTTACAGATATTGATTACAACCATTATCGGGGATATATTTCAGTAATTAAATAATTATTCATAGAGATAGAGCTGGTAGACAGATCAGAATAAAGCTGGTGTCTTAATCTGTCTGGTGAAGGGCTTCCAAGAAAAACAGATGCTGGCTGTCGAGGTAATGCTAAGGTTACTGAATAACTGTTCAACCAAAGTACTACACTCGCCATTGAAGGTCTGTCAGCTGGATTTTCTTGAACGCATAATAAAGCAATATGGATGCATCTCTGAACTTCATTTCTAGAATACAAATCTCCCAGTTTTGGGTCCAAAATAAGGAAAGGTGTTTGATTCTTCCAATTTTTCCAAGCCTGTGGCAAAACTCAAGTTAGATTACAAAGTTTGAAAGTTCTGGCATCCCTCAACAATCGAAAATATTTGCTCGTAGTTTATAGTTTATACTTACATAGCTCAAAAGGTCATCATCATCTTGTGATTGACAATAACTCGTGTTCTTCGTGCCACTAATGATCTCCAAAAGCAAGACTCCGAAGCTGAACACATCGGATTTCACAGATAATTCTCCATACATTGCATATTCAGGAGCCATGTAACCACTGAAAACCAAAAATAACAATCTATATATTCCAGTAAAATAATATGAAAGATTTTCAAAAAAGGAAATAAAGGAAGCATAATAAGAAAGAAATATAAATTTCATTTTGAAAAAAAATTCTTTGGGCTACTCAGGAGCAGTGTTTAAAAATTCGGCCCAGCCATCGACCCGGCCGAGGTCAGGGGTCATGGAGTCACGGGTTCAACCGGGGGGGTCAAGATTCACCAATTATAACCACAAGTCAATATTACACAACCTAATTAAAATATCAAGATACCAAAGTACAAAACTCATATTGTAATGGGTTACTACGCTGACCCGGTTCCACCTCTTTTGAGAAGGTCCATAACAAATTAAGGAAAATTTAAAGGAAGTAAGAATGAGTTTTTGTTTTCCATCGACGACCATAAGGATTTCATTTGAATAAGTAAAATTCTTACAGTTTCTAGAAGATTCAAGGCATCGAGGTGAAGATTGAAGACGTCTAAGTCGTTGGGAGAGAAGAGAGCGATTAGATTTAGTTTTGCAAGCATTTTTATTTTATTTTTTTAATAAAATAATGTTGTTTTATGAAGAAAAAAATAATAAGGAGCTCCTTATTACAATCTACAATGGCCTTTATAACTTACTAAGTTCCAACTATCCTTTCTGTTGTAGAGTCAACTTGACTTTGGTCTCCATGGAAAATCTTTGCCATGCCAAAATCTGAAATCTTTGGATTCATTTCGTCATCTAATAGGACATTACTAGCCTTGAGATCACGATGTATTATTCTAAGATTAGAATCTTCATGCATGTATTTAACTCCTCCAGCAATCCCAACTATAATTTGGTAACGTGTTGCCCAATCAAACTCTGCTTGGTTCTCATGATCTACAAATTAGTCAAATTGTAATATTCAAGTTAGCAATAAATTGAGTTATGTAGAAGAATTAGTTCATACAATAACATTAAAAACAAACCAGAACAACATAGTCCAGAAATTACAAACCACATAGAAAGCGGTCAAGGCTTGAATTGGGGATGAATTCGTAAACAAGTATCCTCTCTGCTCCCTCCAAGCAAAACCCTAAAAGCCTAACTAAATTTCTATGTTGAAGTGCAACAAGTGCAGCCTCGTTCTTGAATTCGATGTCACCCTGCAAGGAGCTTCTGGATAGCCTCTTTGCAGCTATCTCTTGTCCATTAGGAAGGGTACCCTGAAAACATGCATGAGATTAGAATAGCTCCAGTCAGCATAAATTAGCATACGAGCATGACAACATGTTTCCTTATAATTTCTTTTTACCTTATAAACCACACCAAATCCACCTTGGCCTATCTTCTTCTCATTCGAGAACTTATTTGTTGCAGCTTCAATTGTAGCCAAGTCAAAATGCAAGGACTCTTCTTGACAAGTAAAATAATTCCTAGCTGCGGTAAAAAGTAAGTTAAGCAAAATTAACTGCATGCTATTGTTCGTGCTTTGAAATAGATAAATAGTAAGAGCAATAACAATTACTGCTATCTCCCATTTCTAGATCTGCATCATGGTTTTTGTTTCGCCTTCTTCTCCAGCAACTGCAACAGCCTAGAACCAAAAGCGCCACCAAAATAACATTTGGGACAACAATTGCTACAATTGCTACAATCGTTGAAGCACATATGTTTCCTGCCCAAGGTAACCTCTTTTAAGATGTGCAAAAGTGGCAAATGCTTTACAAACTCAAATGAAGAGGAGTGGACACAAAAAGGAACCAACTTCCTCCTCAAAGACCACAAAACAACCTTGACTTGACAATGATATTTGACAAAACAACCTTGACTTGACAATGATATTTGACCACAAAACAACTTTTTATAGACTAATTATAAATGGGTTTAATTTTTCTGCAGTTAATGCAAATAATTTATCTGCAATAAACCCAATATGATAATGATATTTTTGTAATTTTAATTTATTTCAGGGTTATAATAGTCTTTCTATTTAAATTTTTTAAAATTTCAATACCAACACGACGTCGTTTTGAAAATAAATGCAGATAAT